ACTAGAGGTTCTTATAATTCAATTTTAATCTCTTATTCCTAATCTCTTCATTATGTTTTTGACAATTAATGTATCCTTTTACTAACTATGGGCCCGTTTGGATGGGCTTAATAAAAGCAGCTTTAAAAAAGTACTTTTAAAAGTGCTGAAACTTATTTTTAAAATAAGCAGTTATGCGCTTGGATAAAAGTGCTGAAGTTGTTATGTCAAACGTGAAAAGGGAAAAATGGAAGAAAGAAATGTTAGGGTTATATGGGTAATTTGGAGATTGTATAAAAATATCAAGGGCAAAAAGATAAAAATGTGGTCAACTTAAAACAGCTTATAAACTAAAAAAAAAAAAAGCACCCCTACCCCAGCTTTTAACTTTTGGCTTAAAATAAGTTTTTTTTAACTTAAAATTAGTTATTTTGAGTATTGCCAAACAGCTAAATAAGTCAAAAACCACCTTTTAAGTCAGTTTGACCAGCTTTTAAGCTGAGCCAAACAGGCTCTATATCTATTATTTAGTATTTCCTTTTGAAGATAGAGTTCACGGGTCCTTAAATGCAGTACTTCACTACTTCTAACTTATGGACTATATCTAGGCTTCATATCAATTTGGGAAAAAGCTCTTTTGGGGCATTTGAGGGAAAAGCGTAATCAAAGTATGAGCACTAACAAAGACTTGAGGCACTAATGAAGAAAGAAAAAACAATAACTATTTATGTGTATCTTCGACAGATCGGAATATAGAGGAATTACAGATACTTTTAGGATAACACCTTATCCATACCTTTTGTAAATTTTAGATGCCAACAGAACATTTTATTTTAGTGTAGCAGGACTTCTATAAATGATATTGACGATGTATTGGACTTTCATAGACTCTTTACTTACTCAAAAAGAGCTAAGTCATCTAATTGGATGGATTGCTGTTTTGATGGTGTTCTAAACCATGAACTTTGAGGATTAAGTTTGAAGTTCTAGAGTTTCTGATAAAAAGGGGCAACCACAGAGGAAGAGCTAAATTTGCCCAAAAAAGAGCAAGATTTGTGTATATGTGAAGATGTACCGTTATCTGATGTGGTTTTTACCTATTCAGGCACAAGAAGCCAAGAAAATGAAGCTGCTGCTGAAAAGAAAGAAGGCTGAAAGTATGCGTTTATTAGAAATGGAAAAGAGACAAAAGCAGCGCGTGGAGGAAATCAGAGAAACTCAAAAGAAGGTATAGGAACTTGGCCTCTTCTGTTTTCTAATTCGTGGCTTTTTGCAGCCTCCTTATTTATATATCTTTGTGGCCCTCCTCCATGTCACTTGTGATGCCCCATGTTTTATAGTATATTTGGATTTTTCCTACTGTTTAAACCATCCGATGAATCTTTTTAGGACGTAGAGAATATGAACCTGAAGGAGCAGATACGAGCTGAAGTTCGAATGGAACTCAGTAAGCTTGAAATAACATGCCATGATATGGCTTCGGTGTTGAGCGGATTGGGGATCACTGTTGGCGCTGGCACTAGTCATGAGGTTTGGTTGCACTCAGTCTCTAAATATCTTCCATCTTAATTTTAGATTACCTAATTCTACTGAGCGCAAATAATTCCAGGGAACATACTTTTAGAAACATTGGCATTCTTGTTTTGTCCTTGCCCTGATTTATGATTGGTGACCTCTTCTTAGCAATCATATGATCCTTTTGTTCTGGTCTTGTTTAAGAGAAGTTAAGTTGAACCATAAATGATAGATTGTAAGTCCCTTAACAAACTGCTTCTTCTACAGATGAGCAACTTAGATAATCTGATTGCATTAAGTTTGCGCAGAAAACTCATCTGAATTAGCATTTTACGAAGTGCTCAGTCAGTATGTCTTATATTCTTGCAAATGCAAGATCTCAAATCTGTGCAGCAGATCAGCTATTATTCCTTTTAAATGTTTTGGTTAGCTTTCTGGTTACGTTCCCATTTTTTCTCTCCCCCAATGTTGTCTCGTCTTATATTGTATTGGCTGTTGTTAGCCTGTGTTGAGACTCGGCTCTCAGATCCACGCTCATACTTCAACATGCCACTTATTTAGGAAAGCTAGTTGTCAGGACATGCAGCAGCCACATTTCTCATTTCTTGTTTTTACCTAGGATTTTAGGAGTTATCTTACCATCTTCTCTGTATGACGGTCTCTTCCTTCTATTTCTATTCGTGCAGTGTTAGTCACAAGTAGAGGAATAACACGAGAGACATTACTAACAATAAATTCTTGTTTCAGGTGCGTGCTGCTTACAAAAAAGCCTTGCTGAAATTTCACCCGGATAGAGCTTCACGATCTGATTTACAACAGCAAGTTGAAGCTGAGGAGAAATTTAAGCTTATTTCTCGAATGAAGGACAAATACTTACCAACTTTATGACAATGACATTAGGACATAAATGTAGTTTTTTCTCAGGGAAGATATTATATTTTAGGATGGAAATTTTGTGTATAGGCCTTCAATGCTTGAACTTTTCCCATCATATGGACTCAAATGCAGAAAAGGTTTTTTAGTATCCAGGTTTAGTTTTGTTCATTTCATTATTGTTTTTTGTTAATGTAATTTTTGTATTTCCATAGTTGAGATGGCTTTCAGGAATTGCTCAACAAAGGCTGTAATTTTTTCAAATTTTTTTTGGAAAAATTCATTGGTCACTGGTTTTGTGACTTCTTTAGCTGAGTTCTAATTCTTTTGCTCATGAAAGATTGTTGAACTCAAGAGACATTTCAAATAAATACATAGTTTTTACTTGCTTGGACAAATATAAGTACAATTACACTTCAGATTAAACCAATAATCAATCCCTCTTCATCTTAAATCTTGTGAAGAATGACTTCAACTCCATGCTGTGGACGTAGCATAAAAAGCTGAGCAGGAGAGTGAACATAAGTTGGTGACATTGTGAACATATAACGTTGTAGAATCATTGAAAGAGCAATTTTTGCTTCTGTCATTGCAAAGTTCAAGCCTAAACAAGTTCGAGGTCCATAGCCAAAGGGCAGGTATGCTACTGGATTGTTGTTTGTAGCTTTAACAACCCCTTCAGCAAATCTATCTGGTCTGAAAACATGTACATCTTCTCCCCATATTTTACGATCATGATGAAGTGCTAATGGTGATATGTAGAAATGCATTTCACCTGGTAGAGTTAGCTTTCCTAGCTCAACTTTGTTGTCAACTTTCCTTTTGATGAATGGTACTGGAGGATACAATCTTAGAGATTCATCGAGAATCATGTTCATCTGCATTGATCAAAGAATGTTGAAAACTGTTACGTATTTTTTGAATAGAAGTATTGAAACTGATAATAAACGATTGATTGCTTACAGTTTTCAGTCTTGATAGTCCATCTGCATTAGGTACATTATGGCCAAATGATTCAACAACTTCTTTTCTTGCTTTTTCTTGCCACTTCTTGTTTGTAGCTAGCAAGAACATTGTCCATCCAAGCAATATAGTTGTCGTCTCATGACCAGCAAAATAAAACGTCTTGCACTCATCAACTATATCTTCTATCGATATTCTGTTATCTTGATAAGCCTCTAGGAGTTTTCCAAGGAAATCGCTTCCAAAGTTATGATCTTCCTCTTCCTCTTCTCTTTTCTTTATTATTCGAGTAATGCAGTCATGTATCCCCTTCTCGAGTTTCTCTGACTCTATTTCATCACAGCTTTTCCATATTTGACTACAGAAAAACGTAACATTTAGAGCCTGTTTGTCTTAACTGAGAAACGTCTCGTGGAGAAAGAGACTTACCTGATGCCTGGAAATCTAACTTTGTTAGCATTTCCAGAAACTAGTGAAGCTAACTTCATCAGCATTTGAAATATGTTCTTTCCTTCTGAGTAACTACTTCCAAAAGCAGTCCTGGAAATGATCTCTGATGTTAATAGCCTAAACTCTTCAAACACTTCAATCTTTTTATCTTCATAATTCTTCCAACGTTCGAGCATTGTCTCACAACTCATAATCATCATCGGAATCATACTCTACAAACATAATCGAAAAAAGAAAAAAAAAATTATCACTAGAGGAAGCGGAGGAACTTCCTTACCAAAAAAATTGCACTTACTCTTAGGCTTACTCCATGAAAAACATGGTTAGCTAGTTTCCTCATTTTTACCCATTTTTCGCCTTTAGATGACGCAACCCCGTCTCCGAAAAGCTTCTTGGGAAAGCCTTCAAGATCCATTTTGGGATAATTGTTGTTTCTATTGCTCAGTATTTCTTTGAGAAGTTCTGGTTCAGTCACTACTAGTTCAGGTTGCAGTCCATGCCAGTAGAGAAAATTTGGCCCTATAGTTTAGTGAAATGAGACATAGAAGAAAATACAAACTAAATAAAACAAAGAGAATGTGTTTATAATCATTTAAATATACCATATAGTTTCTTCCAAGAAAATATATGAGGTAGAATTCTTGGAAATATGTCATGTGATAAGTGATCCATGGCTTTGTTTGTGGACTCTTTTTTCATTTCATCAATCTCTTTGAAGTTCCCATATAGGAACTTGTAACAAGGACCTTGTATACCTTGATATCTCATCATAAATTGAACATGAAATGGAGTCCATAATAGCTTCTTAACGATCCCAACGAGAATGAAGAGAGAACTCGCGAGAATGATTATGATCATCATCATCTTAGTGATTGATGTTCGCGGTTTTTTTTTTTTTGAATCAAGATATTGAATGGACTTGAGAGTTCAAGGTTATGATTTTTTCTAATGTACGGATTAAGGTTGAGAATATTAGCTTGAATTAAAAGACAAAACAAATACAGATACTGGTTTTGGCTTCATCAATAGCAATTTTCAAACCACCATTCTTGTTTTTACTCTTGACAAAGACCTCAATGAATAGACTTTATGGATCATGATAAAATAATTTCATCTTATAAAAAAAAGAAATTGCAAGTGAGAAGTCTCTATCTGTGTATGTCATGATAATATGGAATAAATATTGGTGTACTGGTCCTAGCTATTAAACTATGAAATCAATAATGCTACATTTGTATAATATTTTGTGCTTGTGCAAGTAAAATTTTTTTAACTTTATGAAATATGTCTCTTGTGAAAATATATACTTATATTGTATTAGATTCAGATTCATTCTATCGGAAACAGTCTGTCTACCTTTCACAAGATAGGAGTAACTAGATTTTCTATCTCATTGTCATAAAGTTGGTAAGTATTTGTCCTTCATTCGAGAAATAAGCTTAAACGTCTCCTCAGCTTCAACTTGCTGTCGTAGATCAGATTGTGAAGATCTATCTGGGTGAAATTTCAGCAATGCTTTTCTGTAAGCAACGCGAACCTGTAACAACATCTTACTCTTTAAGTCTTAAGTGACACTTAAACAAAGACGGAGGATGTTTAGAGAGTGATCAGCGTAAACAAACCTCATGACTAGTACCATCACCAACAGTGATTCCTAATCTACACAACAATGAAGCCATATCATGGCATGTCATTTCAACCTTACTGAGTTCCTTCCGAACTTCAAATCGCATCTGTTCCTTCAAGTTCGTATTCTCCACATCCTAAAGAGATTCATCAGGTAGTTTAAAAGAGTAGGAAAAAATGCAGATAAATATACTGGAAAAAGCCGCGAAATAGATGACAGAAGAGGCCAAGTTGTTATTATACCTTCTTTTGAGTTTCTCTCATTTCCTCCACGCGCTGCATTTGTCTCTTCTCGATTTCTAATAAACGAATATTTTCAGCCTTTTTTCTTCTCAACATCAGCTTCAACTTCTTGGCTTCTTCTGCCTGAATAGGTAAAATGCACATCAGATAACAGTAAATCTTACTTTCTTTTGGCTAATTTTAGTTTTTCCTCTGTAATTAGGTCCATGTGTCATATATTTTACATGGTATTAGAGTCAGGTTCACTCCCGTTTGGGCTCCTGGGTCCACACTCCAGTTCGGCCTGGGCATGAAGAGTGGGAATGGACCGGTGCTTGTATACTTTAGGCAATCATCCCCTCATGAATTTTGGGGCTTAGAACCTGTTTGGATAGGCTTAAAAGTTAGTCAAACTAATTTAAAAGTCAATTTTTTACTTATGCAATCACCAAAGTGGTTTATTTTAAGCCAAAAGCTAAAAGCTAGATGATGGGTGTTTTTTTTTCAACTTAAAAGTTATTTTATGTTGACCAAGTATATTACCTTTTTGCCCTTAATTCTTTTATTATTATTATTATTATTACTATTTTATTATTATTATTATTATTTTATTATTATTATTATGTTATTATTATCATCATCATTATTATTATTATTATTATTATTATTATTATTATTATCGTTATTATTATTTTTATTGTTATTATTTTTTTTTACATTTTATTATCATTACTATTATTTTTTTATTATTATTATTATAATGAAGTGATGATAAAGAAATGTGTGAATGATAGGAAATATTATTAGTTATGGATGTAAAATATAAATTAATTTTGTTTTAATTTTTTATGTAGAAAAACCTTAAATCAATCAATTTTTTATCATGTTAACAGTTTTAAGGATATTTCAGACATTATGATAAAAAAGTGTTTATCGGTACTTATTTGTCAAACACATAAATAACTTTTTTTTTCAACTAAAACACTTTTATTCAAACAGATAAACTACTTATTTTAAAAATAAGTTTTTTTTTTAAGTCCATCCAAACGTTCAAGTGGCAAAGGCGGAGGAACTTTTTGACTTAAGTTGCACACATTGGAGCCTTCCACCATGCGAACTAAGTATGATATTTAAAAGATGAGGAAGGTAGAAGGACAGGCCTATTATCGCGAAGTTTTGAAGGAGCTACTGTTGGTCCTAAACGTTGGGTCAAACAGATTTCTCGGCATTATATACAAATAATAATAAACACATAAATAACCAGAGTAGGATCATACATATAAATTGTTTTTCTAATGTATGACCATGAAAGGGAGAGAAGGTTTCATTGACCTATGCACACTCTTACAGTTTTACTCTCTACATACTGGCTGCGATAATTCAGACACCCCTGGAGCCTATAGACTACAACGCGGAACACAAAAGTAGAAAACAACATATCCTGTGAAGGCAGATTGACTATTTCTGATAGACTCTCGATTCAATAATAAATAAAAGTAGAGAACATCAACAGATGGCACAGACTAATGAACACCGAAAACATAACAGGACAAAATTTAACAGCACAAAGTACACCTGAATCGCCAACGCTTTTTGCCTAGACGCCAATTCTTCCTCTAATGCCTTTTTGTATTCAGAGGTCTCTTTGATCCTTTCTCTCTGAGTAGTAATACAGTTATTATTGCTTTCATCATCATCATCGATGAAGATTATATCACCTCGAAACTTCTTAGGTGTCGATTCAGGGACATCAATAAAAATAACATTACTAAAACTTCCACTCAACTCATCATCAATCAGAATAACATGATCAGCTCCTTCACCATCATTGCACCTCCTCAACATCTTTGTCTCGGATAGTAAACACCCTCACTTCCAACCTGAAGGTTGTAAGATCGAGTCAGGAGCAAAAAGGTGGGACAAATTAATAAAAAAAATCACAAAATGAGTTTTACAATCTATTTTCGCTTTTATTAGGATCAATATTGAAGTTAATTAGTGAGAGATTAATGTAGATGATGGTCTTGGTAAGTGTAAACAACACTCTCCGAGATTAGTATTAGTTAAACTTAAAATAATTTTTCAACTTCCATGTAAAAAGAGTTGTATTAACAACAAAATAAAAAATTAGTTGACTTATTTGTATAGTATATATTTGAAGGCAAAAAAAAAAAGACGTGGGAAATGGGGAACATGAATTTAGTCAACTAAGCATAAAAAAATTACAAATGTGTGTTGTTTATTTCCTTTACTACTATCATTGTTATCATAACATTGTTTCAGATCCTTGAATCCTAACATGAATTCGGTAACTATTGTGATAAATTGTTGTGGACAAGTGATGAATTTTGTTGGGCACCTGCTACTGAATTCGATAAATTTTGTTGGGCGACTGATACTGAACCTGGTAAATTTTGGGGCGGAATTGCTACCGAAGGTGTTCAATTTTATAGGGCTATTGATACTGAACCTGGTAGATTATGGTGGGCAAATACTAAATTTTGCAGGGAAACTGGTATTGTACCTGGTAGATTATGGTGGGCAAATGCTACTGAACATTGTAGATTTTGGCGGGGAACTGATATTGAACCTGGTAGATTTTGGTGGGGAATATATACCGAAGCTGGTAAATTTTTGTGTGCGATTGCTAATGGATGTGGTAATCTTTGTTCAGCAATTGCTATTTAACGTGGTAGACTTTGGTTGGCGATTGATACTGAAACTAGCGATTTTTGGTGGAGAACTTCTGTCGAAGGTAGCGAATTTTGGTGGACAATTGCTATCAAAGCTGTTCAATATTGGTTGGCAATTGATACTGAAACTAGCGGTTTTTGGTGGGCAATTGCTATCAAAGCTGTTCAATATTGGTTGGCGACTGACACTGAACCTGGTGAATTTCGGTGTTCAATTGCTAAGTTTTGGTACAGAACTGCTATTGAAACTGGTGAATTTCGTAGTTCAATTGCTAAGTTTTGGTACGGAGCTGCTATTGAAACTGGTGAATTTCGTTGTTCAATTGCTGCTTAACCTGATAAACTTGGGAGTGCAACTGCTAAATTTTGGTGTACAACTGTTAATGTGGGTAAAATTTTTCGGTTGGCAAGTGCTGCTGACGCTTAAGAATTTTGGTTGGCAAGCGATTGAAGTGAAGAATTTATGTGAGCAACTTGTGAATTGGTTCGAAAGGATCAATCACTGGTTTAACATAGCTTTACCCTATCTCATAACTATCGCGTTGTTGCTAGCTCTCTTCGTGTATTATTGCTTTTTACGTACTCAGGCAGGGAGGGCGAAGTTGCAAAGAAGAGAAAAGGCGGAAACTGATCGTTTATTAGAACTCGAGAAGAGAAAGAAACAGCTTTTGGAGGAAATGAGAGAAACTGAAAAGAAGGTATGACATAACTTTGGCCTCATCTGTTATATCTTTTTGTAGTTTTTTGAGTCTCTATTCCATGGCAGTTATGCTGCATCTCTGTTAGTTGAATGTTTCCTTTCTTCTTTTTTTTTTGTTGATCCAAATTTGAAGCTAATTAGTGAGAGATTAATGCACGGTCTTGGAAAGTGTAAACAACACTCTCCTCTTCCTAGTTAATTAGAGATCATTAGAGCCGTCAATATGGGCTACATATGTTGGATCTGTCTGCCCTAACTCGAGATTTAATAGGATTAGACTAAAATTTTTGGAGCCTATTTAAGGAAAGTGTTTTTTAGCCCGGTCTGAATAAACCTACTGATTTATAGGGCTTGAGAAATATCGATAGGGTCGGGCGGATCAATAAAAATTAATTAAAAAATATAATATAATATTAAAATTTAAAATTAAAGAGAGTCTAAACTCAAAACAATTAGGTTCATATTTCTATTTAGATATTTATACTTTTAATTGAAAATAAATTTAATAAATATTATAAAGATAATTTTATTTGTGAATTTAATTAACAAGCAGTAACATTAACATCATGTAATATTATTTTGTCGATATTTATGATGATATTTTTAAATTTAAATTTATAATTTATAATTTAAATTTAAAATTATAAAAAATATAATTTTTTTAGTAAAAAGAGTTGGCCTCATAAGCATGTAGCTCACATATGAGTTGGGTCGACCGACATTTTGGCCAACATAAAAGATGAGTTAGCCCGGCCTGATCCGTAAAATGTCAAAAATTGTATGGGTTAAGCCGAGGCGGAATATTAATAGCTCTAGAGATTATTAGTAATACATAAAATAATTCATCTTTTAGTTTTACTTTTGGAAATCCAATAATTCAATTTCTATGCAAAAATAATTGTATTAACAAAAAAAAAACAAAATGAAATAGTTGACTTATTTTTAGAATTTTGAGTAACAATTTTAAACATGTATTTCCATTAACTTGTACGTATTACTTTTACCACGTAATTTTTTTTTATCATTTTTCTATCACATAAAAGCTATTAATTTACCATACAATGAGTATATTAGTAAGAAAAATTGTCAAATTATATATTTTTTTTAATATTTGATAATAGAGTGTTTAATTAATTTTACGCATAATAAAAAAGAAAATAGAAAGGACTATAGAAAAAAATATTGAAGAAAAGAGGAATAAAAAAAAGAGTAGATAAGGAAGAATTAAAAAAAACACGAAGTTAGATGGTAATGAGTTTCGTATTATAAAGTCCATTAAATAATAATTTCCTTCGTGTAATTAATAATAATTCTAGCTCATTAAACACAACAATAGATGATCATTAGAAGTTTAAAAAATTGTAGTAATAAAGATTTTGATTTTATTTTCAAAGAAAAAAAAAATTAGTCCTTTTTTTTTCTTTTTTTACAATTATGGCAAAATTCTAGCCATTATTGACAATCCTTCTGACTTTCAAATTTTCCATTAAAAAGGTGAATAATTTTGAAGGCAAAGACGTGGAAATTGGGGAATATGAATAGTCAACTAAACACGGAAAAATTTACACATCAATGCATTCATATTATACGAAAAAATCGAAGCACGTTAAATTTTTATGTTCTGTATTTCATAGTTATTATTATAAGTTTAATTCTATACTACTTGAGTTTTTGATTAGTTAGTATGAATTGGGCAAAATTTGTAGTTAATTATTGTGGACAAGTGATGAATTTTGTTGGGCAACAGCTACTGATTTCGATAAATTTTGTTGGGCGGTTGATACTGAATCTAGTAAATTTTGGTGGGAAACTACTAAATTATGGGGCGGAGTTGCTATCGAAGATGTTAAATTTTGCTGGGCAACTGATATTGAACCTGGTAGATGTTGTTGGAAAACTGGTACTGAATCTGGTTGATCTTGCTGGGGGACTAGTGAATTTTGTTGCGGAACAGTTACCAAAACTGGTAAATTTTACTGGAAAACAGGTCTTGTACCTGATAGATTATAGTGGGGAACTGCTGATGAAGCTGATAGATTTTGGTGCGGAATGGCTATCGAAACTGGTAAATTTTGGTGGGCAATTGATACTGAACCTGGTAAACTTTTGTTGGGAATTGGTACTGAATTTGGTTAATTTTTCGGGGCGATTGCTGATGAATTTAGTAGATTTTGGGTGGGAACTGATATCGAAGGTGGTAAATTTTGGTGAACAGTTGCTATCGAAGCTGTTAAATATTTGTTGGCAACTGATACTGAATCTGGTAAATTTAGGCCGGGAACTGGTAAATTTTGGTGTGGAACTGGTAATGAAACTCGTAAATTTTGGTGTACTAGTGTTAATGTGGCTCAAAATTTTCATTTGGCAAGTGCTATTGACGGTTATGAATTTTGGTTGCCAAGTGCTAGTTACGCTGAAAAGATTCAGCCTGCCAGCATTAGTTACGCTGGAGAAGTTTTGTGGGCAAACACTCGTGAATTGGTTTAAAAGGATCAATCACTGGTTTCACGTAGCCTTACCCTATCTCATAATTATCGTGTTGTTTCTAGCTATCTTCGTGTATTATTGCTACTGCGAAAGAAGATTACTGCTCAAGGTGATGGTAACTTTTTAGTGTAATTATTACTGCTGGTTGTTGAGGGGCTATCGGCGTGTATAACACATGAAAAAAGATGGGTTCTATCTATATATATTAGATGTTTTTACTGTTATCTGATGTGCTTTTTACATATTCAGGAAGAAGAAGCGAGGAAGGTGAAGTTGGAAAAAAAAAGAAAGGCTGAAAGTGATCGTTTATCAGAACTCGAGAAGAGAAAGAAGAAGCGTTTGGAGGAAATGAGAGAAACTAAAAGGAAGGTATGACAACTTTTGGCCTCTTCTGTTGTCTATTTCGCGGATTTTTGCAATCTCTTTGATCTCGTATTTCTATTCCATGCTGTGTTATTTACTGTTTAAACCAGCTGATGAATCTTTATAGGACGTTGAGAGTATGAAATTGAAAGAGAATATACGAGCCAAAGTTGGAAAGGAACTCAGTATGCTTGAAACAACATGCCATGATATGGCTTCAGTGCTGCGCGGATTGGGAATCAGTGTTGGTGGTGGCACTATTCATGAGGTTTGTTTACGCTCCGTCTCTAAACATCTTCCATCTTTGTTAAGTGTTACTTAAGAGTAAGATCTTGTTTCAGGTTCGCGTTGCTTACAAAAAAGCATTGATGAAATTTCACCCGGATAAATCTTCAGGTTGTGATATACGACAGCAAGTTGAAGCTGAGGAGAAATTTAAGCTTATTTCTCGAATGAAGGACAAATACTTACCAAATTTATGACAGGAAAATGATTATATTTTACGAATGGAAATTGTGTGTAGACATTTCAATGTGAACAGCTGCACTCAAATGCAGAGCAGGGTTTTATTTCCAGGTTTCGTTGTCATTTACTCGTTTCCTCGTGTTTTTGTTGATGTAAGCATAAAGATAACTCTAAACGGAAAAGGTTCAAAAATGCACTTAACGTATTAGTAATGGTTCAAAAATGTCCTCGTTCCATCTATCTGATCACATATGCCCCTAATGTTAGTTTCAGTCTTAAGATTGCCTCTCCATTAACTACACAACTATATGATATTCAATTAAATGTCATATTTGGTAAACCTAACTCTTTATTAAAAGATAATAAACCTGAACTATAGTGTATGATAATGACAAAACTATAATCTACATGAATCTGTCTTTATATTCATCATATAGATTCCCTACACATCATTATCAAAAGCCTTTTAAGTTTAATCTCAAAGATAAATAGAGATGATACATTTCACTCATTTCTCATATCATAGCTTAAATTACCTATAGATGGATATAGGGAAACTTATCTTAGTCTTCTTTTTCAGTACTCTTTGCTTCTATCTCCTATGGACACTCTTAAAATTCGTTTATTCAGTATGGTGGATGCCACTTCAAACACAAAATAAAATGAACTCTCAGGGCATTAAAGGCCCTTCTTATAGTTTTCCTCATGGAAATACCAAAGATATATCACTGATGAGAAGTCAAACTATGGATAAACCTATGATTGATATTTCTCATGACATTTTTTCAAGGATTCAACCTCATGTTCACACATGGACAAGGATGTACGGTAAGAACATCAATCGTTTATGGATTTAAGTTATATAGGACTGCGTAAATATTTCTTGTATTGTTGTGTTGTCTAATCTGTGATAGCAGGTAAGTACTAGTTTTATATGTAGTTAAGCATGGAGCTAGAGGGGCACAAAGGGGTCTGAATCCCCTTTGTCGAAGAATTACGTTGTATATATCAGGTCAAAGTTGAGTTTTTGTTATTTTACATAGTTGAATATCCTTGATTTCTGTATATTAGTGAAAATTCTGACTTCGTAATTGTTTGTGATCATCTGATAAGTGACCTGATTGTGTAATCACGTCATCATCTGTGTATAGAACTTAAGGTGATCGTTTAATTGTTCGATGTGTTTGGTTTGTTTGGTGACAGGGAGGAATTTCCTCACTTGGCATGGCTCGAAACCATACTTATTTGTCACTGAACCAGAGCTGATCAAAGAAGTATTGTCCAACAAAGAAGACATTTACCCGAAAATGGACATGGAAGGCTATGCGAAGAAACTACTAGGGGAAGCACTTATAACAAATGAAGGTGAAAAATGGGCAAAAGTAAGAAAACTGGCAAACCACACTTTCCATGCAGAAAGCCTGAAAGTAAGTACTACGGTATCAGTAATTTCGTCTTTAAAATGTTAAAAGTATTGATCTTAGTATAAACGGATGGAATTATGCACAGCGTATGGTGCCAGAAATGAGTGAAAGTGTAGCGGAAATGCTAGAAAGATGGAAAGAACACGAAGGAAAAGAGTTCGATGTGTTCAAGGATTTTGGACTGTTAACAACTGAAGTAATTTCTAGGACAGCATTTGGAAGTAGCTACATGGAAGGCAAACATATTTTCGAGATGGTGGCAAAATTGACAGCAATAACTGTAAAGAATCTTTACACTGTCAAATTTCCTGGAATCAGGTAGTCTGCATACTATTTAATGGAATATCGTTAGACGTTTATGCCTCGTTGTTAATTATCTTTTCTCCGCCTTTGCAGTTGGCTTATAAGAACAGATGATGAAATTGAAGCAGAGAAACTTGAAAGAGGGATCAAGAACTCAATTCTTGAGCTAGTAAGTAAAAGAGAAAAGGGTAAAGATGGCATGTATGAAAAGTTTGGGAATGATTACCTAGGACAACTTATGAAGCTTTTGCATGAATCCGACACGAACAAGAGGATCACCATAGATCAAATGATCGACGAGGTCAGGACATTGTATGGTGCTGGTCATCTTACAACGACAAGCTTACTTGGCTGGTCTGTTTTTCTCTTGGCACTTCATCCCGAATGGCAAGAAAAAGCCAGAAAGGAAGTTTTTTTATTCTGTGGCCTTGAAAAACCAACTTCTGATGCAATTGCAAGACTAAGAACAGTAAGCAACACTCTCAGACTTGAATTGTGCTTACGTTGTTAGAGAGAGTACACTTTTACTTAAGTTGTTAGAACGAGTACCCCTTTATTTACTTAATTATAGCTCCAACAGTTTCTTTTTTGTCGTTTGTTGCAGATGAACATGATACTTAATGAATGTATGAGATTGTATCCTCCAGTTATTACAGTGACAAGGAAAGTTGAACGCGAAGTTAGACTGGGGAGCATGACTCTTCCAGGTAACATGACTATTTTCATGCCAATTCTGGCACTGCATCATGATCCTCAAATATGGGGTGAAGACGTTCACGTCTTCAAACCAGAGAGGTTTGCAGAAGGGGTAGCTAAAGCAACTAACAACAAAGCAGCAGCATTCTTTCCCTTCGGATTAGGACCTCGTACCTGTGTTGGTCTGAACTTCACAACCAACGAAACAAAGATTACTTTATCGATGATTTTGCAGCGTTATAAGTTCACTCTGTCACCTAATTATGTGCATTATCCATCTGATATTTTCCTTTTGACTCCCAAAGATGGAGTTAAAGTTGTGCTTGAATCCATTTAGGTATATCAATGTCTCTAAATGATGTACAATAAATAATTTGCTATGAAAAAACAAATTAAAGCTTCTGAATTCAGAATTCTTATTTTTCTTCTTAATTTCAGTTACTTACGCAATGTGTACGTAGAACCTAACCCTACCTTGTGAAGGTCAAGAGACTGTTTCTTCTGATGTAGTATATCAAAATCTACATACATTATGCGATCGGGATTATAATTCTGAGCATTCATATTGACCAAAGTATCTATAAAGAAACTACATTTAGTAGAGTGATCAATTAAGTTTGAGACACAATATATATCTTCATTGACATACTGTTAAATTAACTTGCATAAGCACCAAATAATATACAATTGTGCCATTATTGATTTCTATTATTATAGGTATGACCACACTTATATTATACAATTGTAACATTATTGATTCCATATTATCATTACTTTTATTATAATCTTTATAATGAAAGACAGATAAAATAAAGACAAAGGATATCAAATCAAAGATGATATTAAAATGATATCTTCCTCACATGGCCATTAGTTATATGAAAATTAGATAATATTCCAAGAGAAAAAAAAAATACTCAGATTGTTTGTATTTTCTCTGTTTCTCATGTCACTTAACATGTTTCTTAAAGATTTAAAAAGAGCAGCTTTCAGATATAGCAAACATAAAAATAATATTTGTATGTTATAACTATAATTTGTATAATTGCGCTCGATAATAAACTCTATGTTTACTATAGAGCATCAGATTGTATAATTCACTTGCTATGGAGCATCAGATTGTATAACTCGCTGTCTCTACTTCAGATTTGTATGATTTAGCTGACAAGTCATTTGTATAAATCGTTGTCAGCCTCTCATTTGTATAAATCACTAACAACTTCTCAATTCAATTTTTATGTGTTTGTACATCTGCATAAAAATTTGAATTTGTATGCAATTGAATCAAAATAAAACGTTTGTATATCATATCTCTCCCTGGTTTTATACAAACACAAATTGTACATTGTATTTTGTATAATCTGTATTTTAATAAAGCAAGAAGGAGAAAAAGACAAAAGAGAACTGGCCAGGAAAAATTTTTATTGTATAATTTTAAGTGTATAGGACGGGTATATATGTATTTGCATTTGTGTATATAAATTTCTCTCGCTTTATACAAACAGAAACACAATATATACATTTGTGTTTGTATAAAGTGAGAGAGGCGAGGGAGAGACTGGAGAGCGAGAAATTCAGGGAGAGAGGTGAATGATAACACTCTTTGGTGATAGCATTTAATTTGAATTAATAATTTGTTATTATTTACAATTTTCCCTTTAAGAACTCATGAAAATGGACTATTTAGAGATTAAAATTCAGCTACTTCATCCGTTCCAAAATAAGTATTACCTTAGGTAAAAATCATGTTCATTAAGAAAGAAAGAAATACATGTAGCTTAAAAATCATTATTTTGTTCGTTTGTTAAAACAAGTATTTTGTATATATATATTCTCATTTTAAAAGGGTGACAATGATAATGATAAATCCTACATACGCCACAGCTCAAAGGAGACGCTAAACAGATTCAAGAATATAATAGCTAAATAAAGAAATAATTAACAGAACAAACCATATATAATGACAAATTTGATATAATCACATCAATACGTTACTAAACCTACATTTCAAAAAGCCACAAACAGATAGATAGGTCAAAAGAGAAGAAGATAGTTAAATAAAAGACTACTACATATTTAATTAATAATAATAATGAGGACCAACATATATAATAAAAATTTGATTTGACTAATTTCAATCTGTGGTCTTGGAACGTATTAGGGCAAAGAAAATAAATCTTAGTATTCTAGAAAATGTTGAACGTCCATAAATAGATCCATAAAGATCTTCAGCAGCTCTCCGACGCTCCTCCCTCATCGTAATCACAATTATAATCATAATTATCATCGTAATCACAATTATAATCATAATTATCATCGTGATCATAATCATCATCATCATAATCGTAATCATAATCATAATCATAATCATCATCATCTTACCAAACCATTGTTCGATTTGAATTAGCAGTGCTTTGAGATGAACCCATTATAGTAGAATTCAACAATTGTTGCTAAGCAAAAAAATGTTGATTTTGTGGAGTACTAGTATAGTAGTATAAATATAGTCACTTGGATAATTAAGAGACTGTTGAGGTTGCCTACTTTTGGATTAATTAATGCTATTGAATTAAGTGCCAAAATGAGATGTGGATGATCAATTTCACTTAGGTAATAATCAATGGTCACTAAGCATGCAAAGATTAATATTATATATATATATTACTGAAAGCATCAACAACAATAAAAAGTTAAAAGTTTGAATTATAGTTTTACTCTTTTTAAAAATTAAATTGTTATAAATATTTAAAGTTTTGATTGGATAAATTTAATCAAAATGTTGATGATTTTTACACTTTCTGATATTAATTCCTAATTAAATATCTAATTTAATGTATCATCTATAATCTATATGTATATAATAATTTTAATTTTTTTAAAAAAAAAAAATAGTATCTTCCTAAATTGCTATACTTTTCCTCTTCTCAGAACTTTTTCCTTAACCCCTCTCATGAATAATATAATTTATATGGATAAAGTATTATCATTTATGATAAATAACGGTGCAAATATGCAAAATGGAGACACACGTTGATAATGTCCTCTCGATTATTATTAAACAATAACTCTAGCTTCACAAATTTAAATTCATTGATGCTTAATTACCTGATAAGAACTTTAGTTGTTCTTTCTACATGGTTTGCTAACTTTAATTTTCTTTTTCATATTCTTCATTAATTTATTATAATTTTCTAATTACTTATTTAACTTTTATACTCTTAATATTCATAACTCTCATCTTTACATATTCATAACCTCCAAATATTTAAACTAAAACTTTAAGATATCTTTTGATATTCCTTCTATTCTATCTATATAAATTTAACTTCTTTATCTCATGAAACCCCTACCAAGATTATTAGGTCATTATTTTTATTCTATAGTTAAAGTAGATGAATAAGACTCTTGAATTTTGATAGGGTATGGAAGGAGTCGATAAGAACTCAGAGAGTAGTGTACTTATTTTTTCATCTATATATACATCAGTCTTATAAGAATAATGTCTACATTGCATTTTTTTCTTAAATTTGTTCATTTTTGTCTTTTTTTTCTCTATTAGACTTCTTAATTTAGTTTTCTATGAATGTTTTATTGTCTAAGTCTTTATCCTTATTTTGTAATTGTTACATTTTATCATTCATTACAATATATATATATATATATATATATATATATATCACGAAATTTTAGTCATTCTAACGTATCTAAAAAAAATTCACATAAAACAAACGTGCTCAGAAACTAGTGTAATCATACACATGGACCATAAAATCTTAGTACTCGATAAATTAATAATTTCTCTTAATTAATAATAATGTATTTTGGCCCTTAATATTTGGCACGAATAAAAATATTTTTCTAAAAAACAAAAGATTTTTCTATTTATTTTATTGGTGAGTAGAAAATACTTTATGTACAAAAAATTTAGTATTTAATTTATAAATGAAAAATGTTTATGAGAAAATATCTTTTATTTTTACTAGAGAGTAAAAAAATATTTTTGAAATAGAAAATATTTTTTAAAAATGTTTTAATTTTTTTTTTGGGGGGGGGGAGGGGGGGGAGAGAGGGAGGTGTGTGTGGATGTTTTGAGGGTAGGGTAGGGACAAAATAAATTATTCAACAAACAAACTGTAATAGAAGTTGGAGGAGAATTTTGAAAAATATTTTCTTTAATTTTTTAAGAATGGTCATTTTTCTTAAATTTGAGGAAATGAGTTGATATGAAAAATATTTTTCAACAAATTTAACCCAATCAAACATGAAAAATTGAGAAATATTTCTTCCTACCAAACACACCCTTAATTGAAATTATCCTTAATGTATAATAAAAATATTTTATTTTGATTCTTAATGTATAATAGGTATTTATTTTGATCCTTCATATATTTGATTTGCTTGAAATCATCCTTAATGTATCATAAATATATTTATTTTGGTAATTGATATATTTTAAGTGATTGAAGATTTCAATTAAATTTTCAGTCAAGTTAAATTTTAAAGGACCATTTGGTCATTTTGTCAATGTGTAGCACCCTCTTTTAGAAAGTTACCTTATTTTGTCTTTTTCTTTTTGTGGGGTTAATTCATTTTTGGTGAATTACCTAAAATTATGATTTACCACCTACAATCATGCTAACAAAATAACAATGGTCTTTGGTAAATTCATTACCTTTTTGACTGAATCTTTAAATTCATATTTTATTATTATTATATAGAAGGTAACAAGTGATATTTTGAATTCCTAAAAATATGATTTACTACAATTAATTATCTTGGATAAACTTGATAGTATTATTTAATCCTTATAAAAAAATTTATTTTTATCTCATTAGATCTTTGTAAAGTTATATTTTTCTTATTCACTTTTTGTCCTTCCCATATATATGTTTAATAACCTAATTGATTTAGTAGTACAGGAACTTATTTAGATTTAAGTATAAATAAATCAAAATAATTTTTAAATATTTTTTATTATTATTTAAGTAAAATTTAAAAAGTGTTTATAAACACTTAATTTTAATCTAAGATGATGAAAGACAATCATAAATTAAAATTTCTAACTTATAATAAGTCATATTTAATCCAAACAACTTCGTATATTTAGCTAAATAATTGTATATTTAAAGCAAATGATTCTCTTTAGTCATGTAGTGGAAGACTATGGAAGTCTTTTAAAAGAGAAAATATTACTATTATCTTTTGTTTGTATATATACTATAAAGAAAAAAAAAAGTTGGGTTGAAGATGTGGAGTTCGGAGCTTATAGGGTACAAAATATTAACAAAAATTATAAAAGGTATATAAATTTTTATATTAACTAAAATGATAAAATCGCTGGAACAACAGCGATTTACTCCACCGGAAAAAGCAAAATCGTTGTCACTACAACGATTTTGCAAAATGTGAATTTTTTTTTAAAAAAATTGAAATCGCTACTTAGGCAGTGATTTTCAATATTTAGTAATTTTTTATTTTTTAAAAAAAAATCGTTACCTAGGAAGCGATTTTTAATTTTTTTATAAATTTTTTTTAAAAAAAAAAGAAAATCACTGTCTAGGCAACGATTTTATAAAAGAAAAATAAATATAAAAAGAAAAAAAAAGTTGGGTGGAAGATGTGTCCCACAAACATGCCATTAGACTAAAAGAAATGTAGAATGTAAAATACTTTGAAATAGACACAAAATTTTATTTTATAGAGAGAGAGAGATCATACTTTCTTACTAATAATAAAAATCTATTTCTTTCTTTCAAAATAGAAAAAATAGAAATGGTTTTGGCTGAAATAATAAGCTTTGTGATGGAGATATTGAGGGAAGCCTTACTCATTATGATAAAGTTTTGTGGTAAATTGATACAATTTTTTGGTTATGAAGTACTAGAAATACTAAAAAGAAATGGTGGTGAAGTGCTACTAACACTTGAGAATTTCACTTGGCTAGTGAAGAATTTTTGTGGACAACTTATGAATTGGTTTCACTTAGCTTTACCCTTTCTCATAATAGCGGTAATTCTAGCTATCTTCCTATATTTTTTCTACTTTCGAATCGGAATACTTTTCAGTATAATGGATCATCTCAAAATCGCGTGTGTTATGATGATTAAGATTGTGAAAAATCTCTTTATATATTGTTGGAAGAGCGTGAAAGATCTCTTTATATATTGTGAGAGATCAAGCAAAAAACTTATTATCATGATGATGAGATATATATATATATTTTTATGTTGCTTGAGAAGCAAAAAACCTATTGACAAGAAGATGAAAGCTCCTTGTGATATGCTTGCCTAGCTAATTGATGAAGATCTACAATCTACAATGAGCACAACCTTTTGTAATGATGTATATTAGTAACTACTACTATCTTCGTTCACGTTTAATTACTTGTTATATTTGGGAGGAAAAAATATCGAAATGTATGAGTAATAGTTTATTTTGGTCTATAATATATTATTTCACTAGATTGAAATGTGTATCGATATTTAATTATGGATCAATTTAACAGAATTTGTCATTGTTCTCTTTGTTAGCTCAAAAAAAAAATTCATTAAATACTCTAACATCTGTCGTATCTGCTTTTTCTAACATAATTTTCTAATTTTCACTCTTGTAATTTAACATATATGAATATTAGGTTTGTGGAATAATATATTAGGAAAAAGAAAAAAATTATTGTAGAAAAAAAAAGTGATTATCATCAGATTTTATCGAGTTGGAATCAATAAAGAAGACATTATTGAGTTTTCTTAATCATGCACGATCCATAGTACAATTTAATAAATTTTTTTTTAGGCATAATACACATATTAAATTTTAAATTTATTTTTAAATTTTAACTTTTGAGCTCAAACTTTTATAGTGCACAAATAGACACTTTAACTATCCTATCTTTCAATAAATAATTACGCGATTTTTGAAGCCAAAATGCGTGAAATGCAAATGCTCCCACGTGTATTAGTGAGCCAATCAGTGGCTGTCAACTGACTAAATATTTTACGTGTTTTTTTATAAAAAAAATATCTTACATGTCATTTTGAAACTAAAAAAAATTAAAATTAATTTTAATTAATATAAAAGAGAGATTCATTAAGGATAGAATTGTCATTTCACGCATTTTTCCAGGTAGAAATCGCGTGTTTATTTACTGAAAAATGGAATAGTTAAAATGCCTATTTGTACACTATGAAAATTTAAGATCAAAATTAAAATTTAAAACCAAATTTAAAATCTAATATATATATATTATGCCTTTTTTTATCTATAAAATTTATTAGATTTAAGATAAAAGATCAAAATGAACACTTTTCTATCTTACATTTCAATCAAAGTGCAAAATAATCATTATCTATTTAAGGATTATTTTGATCATTTTTTCATACGTTTTACCTCAAATAATGCTCACTTTATCATTCATTTATTACTAATATATTTAAATAAATATATTTTCTTAAAGGAGAGTAACTATTTGAGGGTAAAAGACAGAAATTACTTTTAAATAAATTACTACTTCTTTATTATAAGTTTATAATTACAGAAACTCCAAACTGATATAATAATATAATATAAGTGTTAATATATTAATTTAATAAACATAATATATTAATTGTTAAATAAAATACATTATATTTTATACAAATATACTAATTTAATATACATTTTATACATGATACACTAATGTGATACACAAAATATATTAATCATATGTGTAAGAAACATTGATTAAATGTGTTGATACATTAATTCGATGCGCGAAAAATAAAATATTTTGAGAATTTATAAAATTAATAGACAATAATGATGATAAAAGAAAAAAACTTAGCTATTTTTTTTTATTAAGTTCAAAATTCATTTTTTCACTGTACCAATATTTTTCCAACAGAAAATAGAATTTTTTTTAAATTACAAAAAAATCAATATTAATAATTCTTTTGTAACCTACAATGTAAAAGTTAATTAGACAGTCGACAAGCATATTAATAATCCTTCCTGTTTCATTTTTTATTTGAATTTCAAAACAAAATTAATATAATTAATATAACTAAATAAATATATTTTCTTAAGGAGTAATTATTTTATTTGAATAATCGAGAAAGAATATATTTAATGTCATTGAATGTCTATTTCGCTTCCCCTGTTGTCGATTGGAAAATTGGAACATTAAGAAATTAATAATTGAAATTGTGAATTTATATTAATCACAAAGTTGATGAATTAAAAAATTAAATATTATTAAGAAATTTTGCTTTTTTTCCAAAGTAATATTAATTAAGGATATAATATATAAAATATTTTATTTTTTCTTAATTTGTTAAAATGAACAAGTAATTAGAAATTATTTGATAGTTAAATAATAATAGAGAAGTAAAAAATTAATTAAAACAATATATACTAAGCAAGAATATAATATATAAATAACTTTAACTCTTAATCACAACACCATTAAATAATATTTTCATCTCCAAAAGATTCTTAATTTGACGAATAAAAGCGTTCTCTTTTTGAAAGACTATCCAATGACTTCTTTTATTAGTGCATGAACAGAAATTTACTTCATTATTAAGTTACCTAATTATGTTATGTATTTTTTCTTTTTACCCATATACATTATATAAAAAATGATCGGTAATTAAAAATATGTATTTTTAATGACAATTGACATTCTCTGTATATGTTTTTAAAGTCTATAAAAATTTTAATATTTTTATTAATATTAATATATATTACTGCGAAAAATTATATTTGTTGTAGTAGTATTGTATGTGAGTTTTGTATTGCAATTTATTATCCCTTGTGGACCTAGTTAATCGAGTAGTTACTAATTTATATTTATTTTAAATAAATTTAAGAAATGGTTACAAGAAAATAAAAATATGGGAGATAGACGTAATATCGTAAATTAAATAGGAAATGAATATTATAGAGCGAAACTTAGAAAGATGTCTCTAAAATTTTTCCTTTAATTTATTCAAATAATACTTAAAAAAATATTTAAAAACTAATATATACTTGAAAGAAATCAACCCAAATGAGATGTAATTACTCAAGCTAGGTTATATATATATACACATTTCATAATTGAAAAAAATAACTTTACAAAGATTTCACGTAAATAAAAAATTTAACATAAAGATTTCATAAAATTATCAAATTTACCCAAGATTATTGTGAGCATGGTTGTAGTAAATCATATTTTTAGAAATTCAAAATAGTTCTTGTTTACATTGTCACCAAAAAGTAATTGAACCAAAAGAGAAAAAGGACAAAATAAGGTACCTTAATAATGAAGAATCCTAAAACACACTTTAATTTTCAAATTTCAAATTTCTACTCATCAATTTTAATTTTTTTTTACCCATTTTATCGAATATCAAAAATTTATGATCAAATAAAAACACTTCAAATTAAAAAAAAAACCAAAAATATTTATTATTGGTATACAAACTCGTAAAATACCCTCTTAATACATATTAGTACATTTAATTTTTTAAAATTTTTTAACTCTGTTATTAACTTCGATAATATTTTCTACGACGATGAATTACATTTCTCCTTTTATTATTTTCTCTGCAGCAGCAACGACAAATTAAGGACAACAAAATCACCATCAACCCAATTGAAATGACAAATCCTACTGGGGATTCCATAAACATCTTCAAAATATCTTCTATTGATTTCATCTTCTCAATTACTGCTTTGCCTCTTACCTTCAATTCACCTCTTCCAAATTCCATCACTCTTGCTTACAACGATGAAAACAACAACAATATATTTAACGTAATTTCACAAAACTCTATAAAAAAAAAAAATATACATAAATTTCACCTTCACTCTTCGATTCAAAGTCTAATTCGCCTTTCTAGTTTGATACAAACTTTTCAGATCGATAGTGTACTTAAACAATTTCACAAGGTTTGATATTAATTTCTACCACCTAACTTTCATCCAACAATATTAATTATTGGATCGATACCGTTGATAAAGCGACAACTTGTTAGATGGTAGATGAATTTAAGTAATGTCACGCTTCATTTAATACTTTTTTTTCGTTTCAATTTGAACGATAATTTCATGTTAAAATAAAATATATTTATAAATATCAAAATACAAACACATAGTATACATGATTATAATATCAAGATACTTTAAATTCAAACTTTGAAAATATTAAATATCAAATAATAATAATACCGAAATTAGTTATTTCCGCGAGCGGAGATTGCGGAAATAGGATTTAGGACTGCTTTCAAAATCACGCCTTTGTATCCTTACATTATTCCTTCCCGGAGCTTTCATCGTCTTCCCATTTCCGCCGCCGTCGCCGCCGCTGAAGCACCGGCGGAGGAACAAAATCAGCAGAAATCCGATTGGAATGGAGATATACAGTGGAGTTTCTCGGATCGAATTCAGTGGAGGAGCTTTTTCCAGTAACCAGTGAGATGAGGTTCGTACAAACGGCGCCGTTTTCACGATAATCTCCTTCGTATTTTTCAGTAGCCAGTCGGATGAAATTCGCACGACCGGCATCATTTTCACGGCAATCTGCTTCAAATTTCCCGATAACCAATTGAATAAGATCCGTGCATATTCCGATACAAACGACGGCGTCGTTTTTAAGACGATCTCCTTTGCGTTTTCCACCATATTCATCTCCTTCAATTTCTCCACTGCAGCTTTTGCTACACTCTCTATGTTCTCCATTGATAATTTCTGCTCCGATTTTTTCGTCTCTATATATAATTCTCACTCTATGTTTGGCCGGATTTTATAAAAATGGAAGATTCCACCAAAGCCCATGGTTTTGTTAGGGTGTTTTACTTTATCAATTCGACTTATCGGTTATAATAAAAAAAATTATGATATTAATTTGATATTAATTATTAGTTATTGATCGTTTTAAGTTATCAATTTAATAGTTGAAATTTGACATAAAATAAAATAAGCAATTGAAATCACGTAAGAATTATATAATGAATCAAATAAATCATGCACATGAGTTGATAGATTGTATCTTTCTTAAGAGGGAAAATACATGGAAAAACCCTGAACTTGATTCGAGATATGCTGAAATAAGCAAAAGTTTGAGAGCCAAAAATAAAAAACATGAAACTAAATTTTAATTCTAAGAGTTTATATATTGAATGATTATATATAGTTTATAATTAATTAACCTATCATAACAGTTAAGAATCAATAAATTAATTACTTTAAAAAATTAAAATAGTTATAACTGATTACTGATGAACCGAAAGCTTTTTTTTTTTAACAGGTTAGTTTGTATGGTTATTACTCGATGTATCATATTTTTAATTTAACTAGTATAATATTTATTTTAATTACTACTTAAATTCTATTATAACATAATCAATTATCTTTATTAAATTAATATTAAAAGATATTTATGATAATATAATATAATATAAAATAAAATAAAACGAGGAAAAGAAAAGCCTTTTGTTGACTGACCTAGTTAAGATTTTTATATTTTTTTTAAAATAGGTTCAAATGGTCCATAGACAATTATTTTCTGCAATATGCGGGGTCCATTTTCCACCTAAAATATGGAACAACCTTAAACATATTTTGAGCAATATTGAATATCAATCTTTTCTTTTTTATATTTTCTCCGTTTCAAAAAAGAATGAGCTCATTTTTTTAGTGTATTTTGAAAAGAATAATTTTTTTATTTGATAATATTTTAATTTTAGTTTTTCATGCGACATGTTTAAGATTACAAGATGAAAGGATAATTTTGTACATTCGATACAACTTTTATTTTAGATCATAAAATTTAAAAATTATTTTTATTTTCTTAGATTCAGTGTCAAGTCATACTAGGTCAATTTTTATAAAACCGGAAGAGTGTTGTTATATTGACGGTCCATACGAAAGCTTTTTTTTTTAAAAAAAGTAAATTATTATTTAGCTTGGTAGGTGGAGAAATGTTATCATGCTTTTCTTTCTATAATAATAATAATTGTACTATTAGTCTTGTAATTTTTTATCCTTTAAATTATGTTTAATTAATTTGATTGCTCTTCTCATGGTTAATTACCAGAACTAACATAGATAAATAAATCAATGATTTATTGAAAGATTAATGTGACCATTAGAATACTATAATGAATTTTATACTTTCTTTAGTTCAAATATAAATCATAAATATAATACGGAAACAAATAACATGCACATTAATTATATTTTTAGCATTATGTATTTTTCATTCCTAACAATAAAGAAAAATATTTTGTAACTATAGCAATTTTAACAATGATATGCAGCATTATGTTGGATATTAGCTAAAGCCAAAATTTAGAAAAGAGAGTCCGTTTATTCATCTAATATATCTTTTATTATTCTTATATATTCTAAAAAAAATCGTAGTTTTTGATCATTTAATAGTTTTTTTTTCAATCGTAACATTTCTCGTAATATTTTGTTGGACAAAAATAAAAATATATAATTTATTATATGTTATGTGATAATACAAATATTTAAATTTTTCTTATTGCTTATAAGTTTTAAAAAGTTTTTCATAAAAACTTATTGTTATATAGACTATAAAAATTATTCTAAAAGTGTTTAAAACTAAAAATAATACTTCACTTCATTGAATATGCAAATAAGAGTTTTTTTTTAAAATATAATATTTCATAATACTTTTAATCAAAAAACTAATATTATAGTGGTTGTTGCCTTTAGAAGACATTCAAAGTAAATGCAATATTTTTTTAAAAAATTCAATTATTTGATAATCCAATTTATTAAAACCAATATTAGAGTGATTGTTACCTTTGGGAGACATTCAAAGTTAATGCAATATTTTTTAAAATTCAATTATTTGATAATCTAATTAGTTTGAAGACAATGTTATAAAGCTTATATTAGCTTTTCTAAGAGTACAAGAGCAAATATGACCCCTTTTCCATTAAGCAAATATAATGCAACTGTAAATTTAATTGTCTATAAAAAATTTTATCATAATTACATTAACAATAAAAAAAATGATAATGTGTATAATAGTTAATAAGAGATTAAAAATCTATTAAGAAAATTTAAATTAATAGTAACAATGAATACATATAGGTTTGTTTTTGAACCTATTGTAAATAGTTAATACATATTGTTAACTAATAGGAACAATGAATACATATAGTTTTTTTTGTGTGTGTGTTTGAGTGTGTGTTTGGGGATGGGGGATTCCAATACATGATTTTGACTCTGGAATTCAGTGGGAAGAAGCTTTTGAATATGAGATTTTCATATAACAACCAAAAGCTAATTTCATCTTCTTCTCTTCTGTCCCTTTCCCTTTCCCAATTGCCCCGATTTAAACGCGTGTTCTTGTTCTTGAAGAAAAGCCAGATCTTTACCATACTTCTCAGCCTTTTCCGCGGCAAGTAAGGCTCTTTCCCTTTCCTTTGCCTTGGACAAGAACTCATTGTCCTTGCGTAGTTCACGCACAGCACCTTTAGCTTCCTCTTTTATACGTTTCCTCAACTTTTTCTTCTCAGCACGTTCACGATCTGGATCATAATCTCTACCCTTGACATAGCTACAGAGGTAGATGATCGCCAGATGAGTAAAAGCTCAACAGGAAACAAGTAATAGGATTCGTTTAATGAAAGATAAAGAGTGTCTTACTTCTCCTCAAATTTCGGATTAACCATCCTGATGGGTACAGGTTTTTTCTTCCGCATTTTCAAAGGTTGACGCAGCATGTGATGTTCCTGACACTTTGTGTCAATAAATTCAGATACATCCTTCATTTTCTCTCTTAATGCCTCTGGAATGTGATTTTCTCCGGCCAATTTGTATAATAGTTTTGAAATTGGAGTGAAGATCTCAGGAAAAGAAATAAGTTCCTTGTATACATCGACAAATCCTTGCAGAGTTTCCAAAACTGTTACAAGCATGCTAGCCCTACATGAGGAAACGTTTAATCGCATAAATTTCAGCAAGTCCCAGAAAAGAAAATTAGCAGTAGAATTTCAAAACCACAAAAATGTGTGAGCGATCAAGATACTAGTTATGTCAACTAGCTTATTGACAATCATATTATTGGGAAATAAAAAGTTAGTATGACAGACCACATCTCGAATAGACCTAGGCAAAGACTTATCGAACATTTTTATAATTTCTCTCTTAACATAGAGCCATAATAAAAAATTTAAGGTTTCCCATATGCATGTCCACGGAATACTAACTGACCTGTAATTATCGGACTGGAAATACTGAGAGTCCTCTGGTAAATCCACTAGCTCAAGAAAATCTAAAGAATCGATTTCCACGTTGCTACTGCGTATACAAAGCAAAGGTTCAAGTTCTTTGATCTCCATAAGGTTATTCAACTGCAGCACAAGAAGATGCTTGTCAATTTACAAGCGTAAGGAAGCAACACAAATACAATCCAATAAAAATAAAAAGTAATTGCAGAATGAGACAAGGAAAAATAGTTAACGGCTTCAAGAATTAAACTAACAAGAAAGACCTCAGAACCTTCCGTTAAGACAAACCTGTATATTTTCAGATCGATGTTCCTTGTCTAAAGCTGCCATCAGCAAAGTTTGAAGAAATACTATAGACTCAGGACAAAACTTCTGAGATTGTTTAGTTACCTGCAGGGCAAGATGTTGATATCCATAAGTTCAAATGGTCATTCTGTAATTGCAATCATCAACCAGGAAGAGGAACAGAACAGAGAAGATAACTATAACTAGCTTCAAAAGATGGACTGACGAAATTAGAATAAGGAGGGGAAGATGCAGAAGTTTAATATGGCGCACAAAGTATTAGTAAGGTAACAAGATATACTGGGCTGAGACAATCACTACATATCCAGAAGTCCATAATGCTGTTTTGATTAAGTCGGAGATTATACAGGTGGAAACCATATGTGATCCACCGGCACATAATACTCTACCAAACAAAATCCCAGCATCCTTAATTCAAACAAATGATCAATTTCAGTGGATGGAAGATAAATGAAACACCATATCCACTTACACTAAGCAGCAAAGAGCACAAGAAGGAAGCAATTGCAATATCTCTTCCGCAAATGATGGGACACCGCATTAGGTATTCACACATAAGCAGTATAGCAGGAGTCATGACACAATGGCGAAAATCAGAGCATGGAAATATCATGGACCAAAGCCTCAACAAAAAGATGGTCTTCAAAGATGGCCAACTGCTTTTTCCTATGAGGATGGAACAAATACACAAGAGGTTAAGTCAAGAAATGTAAGTTGAGATAGAAAGAACAATAAAAGGAAACAAACAGGAAATCAAAGCAAACCTGTAAGCTTGATATCTTCGCAAAACTGTGCCCTTGTTCTTTGTAGCCTTTGGCGAGCACATATAGCTGCAAAGTATGGGGTCGCTGCACTCATCTCCATCAGGGGCTTTACAAGCAAATTCAAAAGCTTGAAATTCAATGGCTTCTTATTTGCCAACACAGCAAAATATTGCAGCAACACCCCGTAAAAGACCTGATGAAAGAAACAAGCTACTTATAAAGCAGTCGTGGTAGTAGAAACTTACCTTCCTAAAAAATGACTCATCTAGTTCTGACTACCCATAACCTTATCATCTAGTAGTACAACATGCATTTTTTATCAACCTAAAGAGATATTGACTTCAGCAAATACAGTTGCAACAATAACATACCCAGTGAAATACCACTATGAGCAAATACAGTTGCAACAACAACATACCCAGTAAAATACCACTATGAGCAAATACACTTAAATGGTGAAACACTCCTAAAATTCAAG